AAGCCAATAGCTCCAAATCTTTTAAAACAACATCTCCAGTTACTAACCTGTGCGTGCGCGTCGGTCTGAAGAAATAACAACTTTGTGTGCAAGCCCCCCTCCTCCCACCCTGTCCCACCTCCTGCTTCAGACCCTTCTTAATTTATCGCTGTATTGAGTTTGTTGGTAGGAGTTAGCCTTTTGCTGTGTGAGCATCAGTGATTTTGAGAAATGCTGTGTCCTCACTGATTTCAGTGGAAACTGGGGGTTATTCAACACTTCTGAAAACTGGGCCGGGTGTATTTACCACCCCCCCTCCTCTGGGAGCCCACACAGTGGTGTTGCTGGCAGGAGGGACTGTCCTGAATACAAACGGCCCGTGACATATGCACTGAACAGCTTTTAATTAAAGGACTTTTATTTTCAATGTAATTTATAGTTTACACTCTTCTTCAGTGCTGAGTCTTCTGTCTACTTGACTACTGTCTGTCACTGAGCGTTCCCCAGGGCTTGCTGCGGTTCAGAGCAGCAGCAGTCGTAGTACTAGTGGCTTACTCGCAGCTGATTATTGCAAAAGCACAAGAAAAAGTAATAAAGAGGCCCAGCGGCCCTCCCCTTTTTAAATATAGCCGAATTTTTTTTTTTTTTTTTTTTTTAACTCATATCCGAGTCTTGCCTGGAGTAGGAGAAGGAGAGAAAGGAAACGTTTGGCTCCTCGTCCTTATTTCTGCTGCTGCTTAATTGGCTTCATTGGCTATTTAAAAAAAAAAAAAAAAAAAAAAGAATTAAAAAAAAACCTACCTGGCCAAGCCCCAACCCGGCAAAGCACTTTAGCAGCTGCGCAGTGTTGGCTGAAACTCGGGGGGCCATTCGAGTGCTTAAAACTCTGTCCTAAAAAGATGTTGCAGGATCAGGACCCAAGGTTGTGAATTTTTTTTTTAATTGTTATTATTTTTTATTTTTTTCTTAAACTAGATCACTGCACCATTTTCCTGGCTTTAGGTCATGTCGCGTCCTTGTTTTGCAATTGTTCTTAGGGTATTATGACCCAGGAAATGTTTTCTACCAGAATATTTACCCAAATCAGTGGAACCACTTACTCAAGCAGGCTGTAGTTCCTGCAGTGGATATGGAAGTTCCTGCCCCTCAGCTATCATTTTGAGCCTTTCTCAAGGCAAAAACCAAAGATTAGACGTTAACGAGATGATATTCACTTTAAATGTCTATTGTGCAATTAAAACGTTCCTTTGTAATCAAAGTATTTCTAGTGGGAATTTTGTACAGCTCTCTCATCAGGTTTTTTTGTGTTGTTTTTTTTTTTGCCATTGAGGGCTGAGCAGGGGGTTGTCAGGACACGGCAAGTTCCGTTTTGTTTTTCGTGTTGGCCGGTTTCTAAATTTACTTGGTTTCCACTAATTTTATCTGTGGGCAAAAAAAATTAAAACAACATAAAATTAAAACAACATAAAATTACCTATGTTGTCACCTAACTCAAAGGAAAAAAAACAACCAACCAACCAACCAACCAACCTACCACCCAGCAGCGGTGATACAGCCAGTAACGAACGGCTGTTTCTTTAATTAGCAGAAGGGTTACGGCTGGACGTTACGGAACCAATAGGCCGAGGGATCGATGGTCCAATTCCCAGCTTTTTGAAACGTTGATAAATCAAGTGTCTCGCATGGCCAGCCTGTGGTGCTTCTAGTGAGCCTGCTCTTTCTCCGGGGGCGGGCGGCAGCGTGGCAGCAAGGGGGGAAGCCCCCCGTCCCCTCCATCCTCCTCCCCTCTCCGCGGCCACCGTGGGGCTTTTTTCTCCCGGTTCTTTCAGAGGAGGCAGCTCAGCCTGCAAAGGGTGGCTTCAGAACAAGGCATCTAGCCTGGCTGCTTTGCTTGTAGAAGATGAGCTTGGAAGAAGGCTGCAGGGACCCGTGTTGCAAGTCCTCCCATGAAAAACGCAAGCTCGCTCTCTTTGTCTTTCAGTTTGTATATGATGTGACTTCCATGTATATATATATATAAAAACGACCGCGTCCTCACCAAACTTCCTCCAACTGTGCACTGTGTTTGTTTGAACGATTCATGTTAATTGTAGTCCCATGCAGGTTTTCTTTTCTTTTATTTAAAACACTACGTATTTTAACAAATTTGAAAGGGTAGTGATCTGAAAACCGCAATCACTGGATAGCTAAGAGACGTTTTTGTTTTGTCTTATTTCTCCTTTTTTTTTTTTTTTTTTCTTCTTGTCGGTTTTTTTTTTTCTTTTTTTTTTTTTTTTTTTTAAAGAGAGCAAAAGGTGCCTGGACTGTTTTGCTGTTCTCAGCAGGAAAGAGAAACGTTAGCTGTTGTATGGCTGAGAAGGAACCCATGCACTTGGGGCCCGATCCAGAACCCTCTGGAGTTTTTGATGGGGGTGGCTTTTCCACCGACTCCGGCGTGCGTTGGCTCGAGCCCTTTCCGCGGGTTTTAGCAGTTCCCCAGTTGCTGGAGTGTGAACTTGGAATCTTCTGTAGTGAAGACAAATCATTGCTTTAGGGTATAAATGTTTAAAAAAACGTGCGACTCGAGTTAAAAAAAAAACAACAACAACAAAACAACAAACTTCTTCTCAACACTCGTTATTTAGTTCTTGTTTTCCATCTAGTATTTAATGGTCTTTGGAGAAAAAAATAATAATAAAACAGAGTGTTATATATATATATAAAAATATATATATTTTTGGTGCAAGATGAGACCTTCTGTTTTTTGAAACAAGTCTGTAGCATAAAGGTTAAACTATTTTAAGACAAAATAAAATAGAGTGTATTATTTAAACAATATCAGCTTGTTTGGGATTTATTTCCCCCTGCACGCTTTCACTCATTTCACTTCTGTTTGTCACGTAAATAAAGCCTTAAACTCTGGGAATGGGTTACAGCTGCCCAAAGTCAGCACCGTTCCCTGCGACTAATTCTGGATTTAAATGTGATTTCCTGTCCCCAAAAGCTTGCTTTTGTCTCCCAGAGCAGGGCAGGGATGTGGTTTCTGCGTGGCCTCTATCTCCTGGACATCCCAGTCTTTCAGGTGCCTGAGAAACCTCCATACTGGTGTTTCTCCAGCTGTGTCCCATCCTCACAGCTGTCTTCTGCTGGTCAGGAAGAGCACTGGAGTAGGAGACCGCTGTTACACTTGCATTTTCTCACCTGGCCAGGTAGGGCCGAGATGCTCAGGCCTTCTGTGGAGCTCCAGGCAGGTCCTCGCTGAGGACGAGAGGTGGTGGACATCATTTGGGGAAACAATAAATGGTAGCAGGGACTTTATAGCTGCAAGTAAAGAGAAGGACGGTAAGTGTAACTGCACTGTGATACACTTGGGGTCCTACATAGCCAATACAGAAATAGTAGTAGTAGTAATAATAACAGTAACAACAATAATAATCAACGTCATCATCCATTACATTTCTAGCGAAAAAGGGAATTTTCTTTAGTTCTGATGTTCTCACCACATGAGAAGGCTCTCGGTGCTGCGAATGCGGAGAGGCCATTTATTTTAAATGTCAAGATGGATAGAATCATAGAATCGTCGAGGTTGGAAGGGCCCTTAAAGATCATCTAGTCCAACCATCAACCTAACTCTGACAAAAAATAAATAAGAAATAAGCAGGACAAAAATCACTAAACCATATTCTTGAGGACCATGTCAACCCGTCTTTTAAACACCTCCAGGGATGGGGCCTCAACCACTTCCCTGGGCAGCCCGTTCCAATGTTGGATAGTCCTTTGGGTGAAGAAATGCTTCCTAATCTCCAATCTAAACCTCCCCTGGTGCAACTCGAGGCCATTTCCCCTTGTCCTATCTCCTGTGACTTGGGAGATGAGACCGACCCCCTCCTCTCTACACCCTCCTTTCAGGGAGTTGGAGAGAGCAATAAGGTCTCCCCTCAGCCTCCTCTTCTTCAGACTGAACACCCCCAGCTCCCTCAGCCTCTCCTCATAAGACTTACAAATAATAAGAGAGAAACGAGAGTTGGAGGGAGTTGGCTTTTCAGCCCCACCAAGTTCTTGGCTTTTTGGTGAAGCTCGAAAATACAAACTCTGGGTCGGGTGGTGGCTGTGGAGGCGGGCGCCAGGCTTGGGTTTTATGTCATGTGTGCGTCACCAGCTGAGGGAGAAGAGCCTTGTGGAATTTGGCACAGATGGCTTACCTATCTCCTGCATCTTCTCTCAATCACCAAGAGATACCCAGAGTCTTTAGGCTTCAGGGTACACCAAGTGGAATGCTGCTTAAAATTCTTCCTGCGGCGCTCAGCGCATCCCTCGCGGCTCAGGCTGCTTTACTGTTACGTAGGAGCTGCTTGATTTGGTGGGGAATTGTCATTTCTGGGGCGACACGAGAACTGGCCCAAACTGCCCAGACAGGTCAGATATTGGTATTGCTTTCTCTGGGGCATTCCTTGCGACGCAGGACAATTCGGTGGCTGAAAATGTAGTGGGTCTGCCCTGAAACGCCGACTGAAAGCTGTTTACTAATTGGATTAGTTACCCAGTTCCCTGGAGAATCTAAATGTGTCCTCTGCTGCGTCCAGAGGGCTTCCATTTGCTGAAATACTACTTTTTTTTCCTTTTTAGAGTCCTTTTTAGAGTCGTCATCTGCGGCTTTCTCTCCAGAGCATCCCAGGGATGCAGTTTCCCCTCTGGCTGCAGAGGAAAAAGGAGCAGCACGCCTGCAAAACACAAACTGGTGGTGGACAAACCCTGTGTTCACCTTCGTCCTCAGTGTAAATAAGGGGAATGCCTTCCTCTTGCTGAAACTGAACAGCGACTGAGGATCCAACCCCCCTGTTCATAAATGCCCCTCGGAAGTTTTCTTTCAGAGCTGGTGAGTCATCTGGGTTGGTAATTCAGTTTGAAATGAGAACTGAGTGCCAGCTGCAGGGAAGGAAGGATCTTTCAGACAGTAAACTTCAGGGCAAAGCTGGAACGGGTCAGGGAAAACTGTCTGAAAGTTTAATTTCAGATAAT